TGAAGAATAGGCGGGAGTTTCGCAATACATATTTAACAGTATAAGTTATGTATATTTTAAATATAAATTTAAACTAAACAAACGTTGATATTAAAATAAATATATAATAGCAAATTCGTTACAACAACTATCGATGTCTTAAACATTTTTGGTAATTTTTTAAGGGATTTTTTTTTATGTTTCTATTTTACAAAATTTATTGAAAAGTTTATACGAGGTAATACACTAAGTTAATCAATCATCTTCACACAAATCTTCGTCATCACTAGGATTGCCGCTACCGTCGGATTCATCGGATTTACTTCTTTGAACCTTTGCTTCATCCTCTTCTGATTCCCACAGCATGTCATCATCTGTCCCATCAATTACATTGGATATGCACCATTTTTTGAAACCTTTAATGATGCTTTAATGATTTCCGGTGTTAGCTTCTAGTAAAATAGCTAACAAAATTGAACGTACGCTAATATAATGCGCAGTCAATATTCCGGGAGGTAATTGGAGAGAAAAAAGTGCGCATTATATTCGGGCAAATACTGTACTACACTCACTAAAGATTTGCCTCTTGAAACAATAAACAAGCTATTACTGCCTACTAAAGATCTGCCTTTAGAAACAATAAATAAACTACTACACCCACTAAAGATCTGCCTCTAGAAACAATAAATAAACTACTACACCCACTAAAGATCTGCCTCTAGAAACATTAAGCAAACTATCACACCCACTAAAGATCTGACTCTAGAAACAATAAACAAACTATTACACCCACTAAATATCTCTGACGACAGTACAAATTGCAACGTTAAGCTTTGCTTATGTGACGTCATATTAGTGTCTACTGACCGACTGGCAGACAACACGACAACATAATACTGTATAGTAGTGCAAGTGGTTAAAACAGGTGACCTCTCCAGGCAGCCTTCGGCCCCCTTTCGGGAAATTAGTTAAATAATTATTTCTATTTATGCACTAAAACCGCTGCTACGGTGTCTTTCTCAAATCATGCATACTATGTGTGAACTGAACTTAGCAACCAATTAAAAAGTGTCTTTCTGCTGCACTTGTTAGACATTCTTCCGTTTCCGAGTGATGAGTTGTTAGATCATTTTCATTGAAACTCTTTTTTTTTATTCATATGAGTACAAAATTAAAACAGAAAAAAGTCAAAGTTCTGGCCAAAATACAAAATCCCCACGAATCGATAGTTCCTTAAGCTGTAACCCTAACGATCTTCTTAGGCCTAGCGCCACCACATTTCAGCTAGGACTACAGCAAAGCAAGGTAGTACCAACCACAAGCATTAGAGAAAAACTGTAGGCAGAATATGAATTTATCTGTTATCTCATGGAGACTGTTACTCAAAAATTAGCATTATACTTGGATTGATCCTGCTCAGAGATATATATATATAAGATCAAAGTTTCCATATCAAGTCTTTTCGTAATGAGACAAATGAAATTATACGCACATGTATACGTACTTTAGTTAAAACTTTACAATAAAACTATCAGTAAATGAATATGTATATATATGTGATTGATAATGTTACGCCTCCGTTCGTTAGTTAATTTTCCGTAAATTCGTTCCGACGAAACTTTAGCGACGCAAGTCCTTTCTTAAATAAAACTGGTTTATTTTTTCTGAATACAACTTTGCAATACACTTAATTTCCACAGTCGCGCTATAACAAACGCTATAATTCACAACGAACGTCTCACGTGCTCAACTCAACAATACTCTGTACGCAGTTCAATTACACAGCATTACATTATATTGTTGCCGTCACTTCTTGGCCGTCTTATATAAAATAATACCGTACATCTAGTAACCTCCCGAGGATTCACGAAGCTTCGAGAATATGATGTGTTACTAGAGTCACGTGACCTCCGCTGTCGTAACAATAACAACTTTGAACACACGAATGTCCAAACAACTGCTAGAATGTATCCATTAAGCTATAGTTTAGTTGGAGCATTTAAAAAGCAAAATGTTTTGCCAGTCTTAAATATTTTTAAACATTTACGTATAAAGTACTTACTTCACTGCAGCATATGTTAGACCGTTTTGCTTAAATTTTGCAAAGTACATATACACTCATAGATGATTGTGTTATTTTTTTTATGGCAAGGCTACTAAAGCTATCTGCCGCATTTCCTAATTTTGAAATACTGACCAGAGAGAAGACAGCCAATCAGCAACACCCTAACATCTATCACCCACGCTAAGGGATTAGCTGTCACTCTTATAAGGCACCCACATCTTAATGTGCGGGGAATATTTTGAACCCGGCTTGCCACCTCTGAAATCCAAATATCTACAATAGGGCAAACTCGAGCCCACTTTGGTATTTTGGAATGGTGAAACTTCACAAAATAATAGCGCGATTCAACATTTGAAAGATACAGCCTAACATTCTCTCTGATCTAGCTACTAGTGGACTGTAACTAAGAAAGTTTATTTGGTGTATAATTTTTAGAAAAAGCTACACAAAGGGATATCCACGCATAGCCATCCCTAATTTTGAATTAATATACTATAGGATAGACAACTACAAAATGTTACCCACCACTAACTTTTAGACTAATCTTGTCAGATCGCATATTGGTATTTAACCATGGTCCCAAAGTGTGGTATATGTTTTACAGCAATGGGACACAAACCGTGAACCCTCAGATTCATAGTCTGAGTATGCTGTCCAGTATAGGCTACGCCAAGTCCAAAGTTAAAAAGAACTACCAACACATTTATTATGACAATGTGGTACTTTCAGGTGAACTGATTTCCCTTAAGAGTAATCAAGTAGGTTCTGCACAGTAACAGGAGGTTTAAAGAAAATATATTACAGAAAAATATGAATTTTCTAACTTTAGCTGAGTTTGAAGAATGAAATAGAATGGACACAATGTGTAACAAAATTAAACAATCTTTATTCAATACACAAAAACAAAAGAAAACGCAATTGAAGACAAGACGAGTACACGAGAGACGGCACCTTTCCTGGAGGTCTGTTTTTGAGAACTTTGAGAACAAAAGTTAAGCCTTTAGAGCTAAAACTAACCTAAGACTTGTTCAACACTGAGAAAACATAGCATTACACAGTCTTGGACAAAATGTTTGTATATTTTGTAGGAAAAAAGGTCATTATTATTAAGATAGAATATAAATATACTTAGCACTGTCAAACTGAGAAATGCATGTTATGTTAAACATCTACATATGTAATTTGTATAATGAGACAGGTTCTATGGATATCATGGACGATTTATTAGATCAGCAAACAATTTTATCAGATACCCGTAAAAAGATGTGTAATTCAGTATTTTCCCTATCACAGCAAAACCTTACCAAAACATATATAATGACAAAATATAACACGAAATTATTAAAAATAGCACCTGTCACCTTATATCAGTTCATATTAAACATTTAGCACATGGTTCGTCCTCCTCGTACTCTAATAACCTCTGCAAGGCGATGTAGCATACTGTCAATGAGGTTATTGATGTAATACACCGTGATCTCATCCTAACTTTTCACTAGAAGGCGCTGCAAATCAGCTATATAACTGGTTTAGGGTCGTGGTTAGCAATTTTCTGGCTCAAATCAGCTCGACTGTTCTTAATGAGATTGCAATCTGACCTTTCTGACCATGGAAATCTTGTAACGTCCTCCTGGTCGAGATAATCCTGTATGATATGCACACTCAGAGCAGTGGCATTGTTATTTTGGAACACAAAGGTATTGCCAAACCTTGCCCTAGCATATGGCAGAAATATCGTCTCCATGTGATGCCTGAAGGTCCCTCCCCCTTTTCATTTCCCTGGAGGATATGAAAAGCAGTTTTCCATCATGAATAGCTGCCCAAATATGTACTGCATCATCTCCTGTGTGTTTCCTGTGGGAAAGCTAGTCTTCTCTCATCTGTTCTCCAGGCAAACGACGAACACGAATCTTACCATCAGCTTTAACAAGACAGAAACAGGAGTCATCTGAGAAGATGACATGTTGCCAGTGTCATAACTGTAAGTTAATATGCTGTTTTGCCCAAGTAACATGGTGAAGGTGATGAATTCTGGTTACTATTGATTTGCAGATAGCCCTTCTTGCAACATAATCTTATTTGGTCAGTCTACTATTTACTGTTTTTCTGGATACCTTGGAAGAATGTGTTCAGGCCATTTCTATCGTAATGTGTGACTTCTTTCGACCTTGATGTATTAATCTGAGGACAACACAGTCATCTCGGGCAGTAGTTTTTAGGCAGCTACAAGTAGACTTTCCTGGAATAACGCTTCTTATAGTTCGATGACGTTTCAGGATTCTGGATACATTACACTGGGGGTACCCTAATGTTCTATCAATGTCCATTTGCTTCATACCATTTCTAGTCGAACAATTTGATGCCCTAAAACTTCTGGTACGTGATGAAGCATGGCTCTATGCCAAATACAAAGAAAATGTCTGAACAAGGCATTGATCTATTTCAATCTTTAATCCAAAATAGGTGTTTATGTGTATTTTGACGAACAATTGGCCAAAACAACTCGTACATGTTTGTCTGATCATATGCTACCTTCTCTGTTACTACCCAGTCATTTACTCAATAACTACACCACGCATGTAGACAATAACATTAATATAGAACAGTATGCAAACATTTTGGCCAAGACTGTATACACAAAGCAATAATGCTTCTTCTCGGGTATATGCTGATCATTCTCATAGAAAAATAAGGGAGGTTACATTCTGAGGACATCATCTCACCTACCAGTGGAAAAGATCACTGTCCACTTCTACACAAGAAATTAAAATGTACAAAAATATTTTCCACGAGAAATCCCGTGTGATGCCACAAGTGAATGACACAGGGTGAAAGGAACTTAGCGACATTCTGTTTTGCATTAAACAATGGGGTAGAAAACAAATAGTTTGCCTGAATATGAAAACCATAATAACATAAAAAATACAAATGTATTACAGAATACGCCAGCATTAACAATAATCTACACACATCAACACCTAAACTCAACATACTTATCTGTGCCCCTAGTCAATATACATACATGAGTAATTTACAAATTAAACTAGCCGAATAATAAACAAAACATTTAATTAGAAAAGAACAGAAACTCGACGATAGAAACAGTTAAAACTTAAAGGAGCAATACATATATGATATTACTGAACTAATGCAAAAGTATATTTTGTTAGGCACTGTTATGAAATGTTGTTATCACTGGAATTAAGAGTAATCAGCCTCAAACTATACGTTAAAAGACAGCATTTAAATCTACAAATAAGAATACATAATCAACATTCATTACTAAAGAATTGCGACATAATGAGATAAAAATATAGTTGTTTTATTAATAACATGTAATAACCTTGTAAACGTTCAACTTTATCGAGTCGATATCTTTCTATTAGTTGAGATTTATATTTTGTTTTGTTTTTAATTTCTAATACCATGTCTAAATGTTTTAGTGTACTTATATTGTTTTTAAGAAACATATAAATAACTATAAATCTTTGGAAATATTTAAGTACAGTAAATAAATCTAAAAAAGGTTTATTGTTATTGCTAGGCTTTTTCCAACTCGTGAGAAAACAATGAATTCAGGAGGACACGCTCTTCAGCTACATGAAGCCAAGGTAATTGAAATTTTTATTTTTGCTTGTCAGTCTTCTGTAATAAATCGTTTATTCTGATGGTCTGAAAGAATTTCAAATAAAAATCAAACGAGTTGAAAATCTCCGTTAACAACTATCTAAGAGCTGCTTGATACACATATTTTATTTAATTCTGAACTCTAATTGGCTAGACCACTGAAAATATTTCGTATGTCTGATAGTTTTGAATCTAATCATTGTTTGTACAGCAAGGTTAGTAAATTATTACTCCGTTCATTTAGGCCATTAAAAGTGATCCACAATCTAAGAAACGGGTATTTCGAGCCTATACAATGATGCTGGATTTTTATGGAATAGAATTTACGAATCAGTACACCGGGGAATTGAAACGAGGCAAAAACTGGGAAGAAAAAGCTAAGTCTTTGAACAAGTAAATTGCTTTTGTTTGTTGACTTTGCGTAAGCTACCTAAAATAAAACAATTGTAGAAATTAACTTATTTACTTAGAGGTGAAAATCTCAAACTGTAGTTGTTGAAAGAAGTTCATTAAAGTAAATAGGAGATTACGATTTTTTGTAGACCAACTATGACAAGGGATAAATACTGTTATTAAGAAATGTCACTTCTAAGCTCATTTTTATGCAATACAAGCGTCAGATGACCAATCATGTAATCTGATATGCACATGTCTACTGTTGGAGTCCGTATCTACAAATGTTTATGTTGCTATAGACTTTGAAACCCAGTAATCCATCATAAAACATTTGTTAACTATGATTACTCCAGACAGTGATGTAGCATGCTTAAGTTGAATGGCATGGTTAGTTGCTGGGATAATTAAGCCCACTTCTTCGTCACAACTGCTTCCAGTTCATAAACGCTGCTTGGAGAATTATGTACCACAAAGCATCTTTCCAGAGTATTCTATACATGCGCAATTGATTCAACCTGATGAGCATGCTGGATAGTCCATTTTCTCGATATCCTCTTATTCCAGGAAACTGCTAGCCAGTAGAACACAAAAGGAAGTCGTGCTATCCTTTAGAAAACAATTCACCTACTCCATCTACATATTGGAAAATACTGATAATTGTAAGGCCGTATCGTTTAACATCACAGTGCCATAATGTAGCATGTAAGAGTCAGTTTGGCCCCCACTGGTGATTCCTGCCCAGATCAGTGTACCATCACTATCACATTTATGCCTTCTTTCAATAAAACTGGAATTGATTCTAGCCACACCATAAGTTCATACAAGTTTTGTATTTTGCTACAGTTTGAAGTGTGGTTCGTCTGTGAACAAGACATTCTATTCACCCACATGTCATCTGACCAATCCACCTGTTTTTGGTACCATTGAAAATGAGCTGTTTTGTGGTAGTAGTGAGTTAGAAGAATGCAAACCATTGGTGGTCTGACAGATAGTTCAATCTTATGCAACCTGTTTCTGATCGTTTGCTTCGGTTGTTCAGCTGCTGCTCTGAACTGATGATTTTGTTGGAAGGTTGGTGAGGTTCATTGGTTGTGCCAAGTCTACATTGTCAAATATGAAAAGTTTTCAGTGGGGATTGCAACAGTGGTTTATCCAGTCCAGGTCTCTGGCCAACTGTATTGATGGTCTGAAAGCAAGTCCACATCCTGCCAACCACACTAAGTAAGATTTTTAGCTATTCCGTAATGACTGAGCTTCCTACTCAATTAGTGCACTTTAGATCTTGGAAATAGCAGGATGTCTTTGTTGGGGTTCTAAACATGCTCAACTATTAATTTGCTGTTGTTCAAACTACTACTTGAAAGCACGCTATCTTTCCTTGAATTTTGTATACCACTAAAACGGGAATACCAGATCACATGACCAGTCACTTGACATTTGTTTTGCATGAAAATGAACTCGGAGTGACGGTTATGTGATAGTTATTATGTAGAAAACTCCGATTATCCTTTCAGGTGTTTTGATTCTTTGTTTTAGTCCATAGCTACTCAATGAGCTATCTGCGCTTTGTCCACCACGGGGAATCAAATCCCGAATTTTCGCGTTGTAAGTCCGTAAACTTAGTGCCGACCTTCGTGGGGACATTTGAATATAGAGACATTAAATATACAGATATGTAAACCAATAATCTTCCATTATCTTTAGTGTGAAGTAAGTTTATTTTTCAAACACGCACACACACACGCACCCAAATATAATTGAACTCACAATTTAGTACAAAGCTGATCATGTTAGCTCGTTTCGCAACCTAGAAAAGTAATCTAAAGCATAAAAGTTTGCGATCAATATGGTGACCCACTGCAGGACTAATTGTTTTGAACAGTGTATTAAACAAAAATCCCTTTAGGGCAAGGTTGAGATTGCACATATTTGACGAATAGCAATGGTTCTACTTTCTGCATGAATAAACATCAACGCTGTCATAAACATTACATGAGATACAAGAGCGAGTCAAAAGTTTAAGGAATTCAGTGTAAAGTTCTCTTCTATCAAGCCAAAAGTATGAACTGTCAGAAATATAATTTGTTAAAAATACCAAAAGATATTTCGAGTTTAGTTTTATAGTTTCAGTAGATTTATTGGCAAATAAAAGTGTTCCCTCGTAGCTCGGCGATAGCTCAAACTTAAAAATTCGATGCTAAATCCTCGTTGTTGACACAGCAAAGATAGACCACGTAAGTAAGCGAAACCTTCGGTACTTGGTGAAACTGCATAATTACGGAATTAGGGAAAACAAAGGCAATTGTACTTTCACAAATATTTCATTTATTAGCACCATGGTTTCGCCAGTAAAGACATCATCATGGTCTTATTAAATGAAATATTTGTGATACGTAAAATTGACTATGTTTTCTTCAATTCCGTAAAGATAGTCCATTGTATTGCTTTGGTACAAAACAAATCAATATGTTGTTACAAATGTGGAAAGGTGACAAACTATCCAAATTTATTGTAAAAGCAGAGTTTTAAAAAATCGTTAATAAATAAGATAAAACTGGAAAAATTCGCTTATTAACAACAAATTTGTCTTATATAACCTCAAATGGTCATCGTAAGTTTTTATAATTAATTAGGTACTTGAAACACAAGCATGGCCTAATGTTTAATATTTAGGATTAGAAACCCTAGAGTCTCAGATTCAAGACGTGGTGTGTGACGGATTTATTATTATACATTTATTTTAATATCGATGTTTGATTAAATTGAACATATATTTAGAAATGTACATAACTTATACAGTTAAATACGTATTACGAAACTCCCTCCTATTCTCTAAAGTTGTAGAAGATTCTCGAATGTAAGAATCAACAATATATGTGTGTAAGTAAACACTATTATTAGCGTCAGTATTGTTACGTAAATTGAAATTTCAGAAACTCTCCACACGCTTATAAATATAACCAACGCGACGCGCCAAAAAACAAAACAAAACAGTATCTATTATTGGTTTGCTATAGTTGGCGTACTATAAACTTCGGAAGCTATAACTGTGATTTTTATAACGCTTATTAATCGGGACACTTCAGATATTTGACAAGGAACATTTATAAATTTAGAACATTACAAACATTCAACTTCATTGAATTCACATGGGACATCAGTACTTTTACGAAAACATTACCTTATGTCATCGGTGAAAAAACATCGGCGTATGATCAGTAAAGACCACAGAACTAGCTAGCTCCCTATTAAGTGAATTGTACCTATGTCAACTCGAAATTAACTAGCACTCATCGTGAACCCTCGATAAGACATCAAGTTCCAGACTAGAAAGAAGACTTTATTTTACTTGTAAGTTTGTAAAACTTTTGTATGTACGTCATTGTTTGTGATAACTATTTGTAATAAATAAATTTGTTATTGTAAATTGTATTACTGTTTGTATATTAAAATACATTTGTATTAAAACAAATAAAACTATGTGTATCAATCTTGTTGACAAATATCATAAATTGGATATATATCGGCATTTATTTAACTACTAACTCTAAATTACAATTTAACTCAGTTTTAGGCTATTTGAAATTGTAATACATAACAGGTGTCACCAGACATTCTTCACACTTTTAGCTGCGGGTGCTTTATAAATGCGATAGACAATTCCGCTTTTTAGTTAAAAGTGGCCGTTTTAGGCGGTTGGTGTGTTGACTGGATACATTTTGTCTGGCTAGCTGTTCAAGTTTAGCTCACTGTATACAAAAAGGCCGTTCAGATGAAAACAAAACAAACATATATAAAACCTCTAGTAAAGATAATACCTTTGCCTGCTTACATCAACTTATTGGGCTGAATAACCTTGAACTTTGAGTGATATTCTGACAGTTGATATTTTTAGTTATAAATATTCGTTATAATCTCATTTTTAAATTATTTATCCTATTGCAGATATATATACAATTATCTAAGGATTACCCAGATTTTGAAATTTCTTGGTGAAGTGGGTTTTGAAGAATTGAAATGCCCTCTGGTGGAATTCCTCCTTCTCGAATGTCTGAAAGAGAGATCATTGTCTTATGCCAACATAGCTCTCAAGGATTATTGGGTTCATGTTCTACGGAACGAGGCAGATAGAACGTACATATTACGTCTCCTCGCCCATTATTGGCCCGATAGAGACAAGCTGGAGCGATGAACTATCGAACACAACTTGAAACAACGACCTATTTTTTTTTTAATTCATGGAAAGAAAAATATAATGATGCATACTTAAAAAGTCAGATTGTATGTTATAAGCAACAAACCATACAATATTCAAGATAAGTACGTGTTTGCGAATTTTAAAATTTCTTTGATTTGCACGTGTTAAAAGCATTCTTTTATTTGTATTTCACAAGTAAAAACTATTACACTTATTTATTGTAGTATTATGATAATCATACGTTAGTCGTTTTTGGTTATATCAGGTCTGTCGTTTAACGTAACTGTATGAACTCAACAAGTTGATTATATCATCGTGTAAATTGACAATAAAAGGATCTTTAAGTTTCAAGTTAATTGACGGAGTTCAAATGTGCTGACAAACACAAACTTTCAATTTCCAAAACCCGGTTAAAACATCTACAGAGTAAACGTATTAGGACATTCGAATTCCGCCCTTTTCTCAGAAATATCTTTTATTATCACAAGAAACCCACTTCCAGTGCAAGATATAGGCGTAAACCTATTGCAACAAGAATGAAAACATGACGAACTTGAAACGCAGTAACTTTGTACAAAACAGATATACTTCATCTTATAATCAATACCAAAATAACATCTTTAAATATTACTTTGGTAAGTACCAGTCTTAAAGAGATGCAATGAAACCACGCATAATCTAAAATAAGCTACTGAGTTCACCAACAAATATAGATCTGTTTAAGTAAGAGATTCAAAAAAACGTTTTCTCCACCTTATTTTTAAAATAATTGCATTATAGAGGAATGCTTAAATTCATAACATATTTCAAAGCTTCTGGTGATTATATTATACGTATTTTTATTTCAAATCATATGCATACAGAAAAACAACAACAAAAACAGCTAAACCTTATAAAATTCCCACAATTAAATGTTCACTATTAAACACTAAAAAATATCATGTTTTGAAATACAGGGCTCTGTTTTAATGACATGAACATAATTCAATGAAGTAAAACCCACATAGAGAATACACCAAAGGAACTAACTATCAACAAAAGAAATCATCAAACATATTTTTCCTGAAAACAAAACTGAAAAGAATGTTTGAGTATTTAAAATATTTAACCGAATTAAAAATAAACAAACAAAAACAGAATATTTATTTTTAAAAAATGGATCACTCTTGCCCCTCACTAGAAAAAAATAAGAGGATAAGGCACATATGATGCATATAGAGGCACCCTCCAGTGGCACAGCGGTATGTTTGTGGACTTACAACGCTAGAATCCGGGTTTCGATACCCATGGTGGGCAGATCCCGGAAAGCCAACTGTGTAGCTTTGTGCTTAATTACAAACAAACAAACATATAGAGGCAGTCTCAAAGTTTTCCGTCTGTGGAAACTTTGTATCCCTGGTCTAGTTCTTTAAGTGGAACAGGTATTCATAAGAATATATTGTTTGAGTGTAAGAAAATGAAATTAGAGAAATTATTACTGATGTCAGTTGTGATTGTACACTCTGTAGTTGGCAAAGTGGACATTGTTCAAAAGGTATGATTAATTAATGTTGTGGATAGTTACGTACAAAGGCAATAATTATGGTTGAAATATGAGAAATAGGGACTATAAGCGCTGAGCCTAGAAAATGTACTTTTCCAAGACCATTGTCCTACTGGATATCCTTTGTTATTCAGGTAATTCATTGTACCTAGAATAAATATGCCTTAAGACATTTCTGTGTGTGGGTTTGTTTGTTTACATTAAGCACAAAGCTACACAATAGGCTATCTATGTTGTGCCTACCATGGGTATTGAAACTCTGTTTGTAGCGTTAGAATCGCCAGACTTACCGCTGTTCCACTGGGGACTTTTGTGTGGGGTGTTATCAGTATCAAAATTTCAATGTAATCAGAATAACTGCTACGAAATATATTTTCGCATGTTAATACACTCACTCATCTTTTCCTCTCCATCAAAATTTCTCATTCGTGTGTCCTATTTATTTGTTTAAGAGCAAAGCCACATCTGACTATCTGCCGTGTTCACCGGGGGAAATGAACCCCTTATTATAGCGTTGTAAGCTCGTGGACTTACCGCTGTCCTATCGTGGGACTATGGGGCTTAATAATTTGGTTTAATATGTGAAAAAGAAACAAACATTTGTATTCGACCGACAATCCTAGCGATAACTAACAGCAAAAGATGGAATACTTTATATAAGTATATATCTTGCTTTATTGATGCTGAAACAATTTTTGTAGTGGGATACTGAAAACCATTGAGCTAAATCGAAACTCCTGTATACGATTAGAACTATGCATGCGCAGCAACCCCGTACATTAAATCAGGGGTACTACTACATCCTCAGCACCCCTAGTTCCCGCTCCCTTGTCTTGTTTTATACTGCTGTTAATAGGGTAGATAAACCTCAGAAATATAGTGTTGTGATGAAGTTGAAGAAAATGATGAGAACAACTGTTTGATGATTGATAAGCAACTGCATTTCTATTACAGAGTCCGTAAAGTTTTTGTCCTTTACAATACTGACCAGTCAACATAAGACACAAAAGTGGTGCTACATTCACGCGTGAGTTTAATTTAAAAGAATCTCGCAGAGTACACATAGTTTCTGTCTGAGCAAAGGGTATATAGTGGTTTATGAATACATGAATTGTATGATCTATAGAGAAAAATTATGGCGGCAGATTTTATTCAGTTACTGAGAAAATAAAAATGCAGTTTTACCTTAACTGACTCGTCTTCTTGCATTACAGAAATGAAACATATAAATAACCGCTAGAATATGCAAAAGTGTCAGTTAAGTAGTAAACATTTTTACAAGAGATGAATTGATTAAAATATTATTTATTTATTTTTAATAAGATACATCAGTTATACTTTTATGTTGTGCAAGTTGGCGCCTGTCTTCTTTCAGATGAAATAAAACAACGTCATGCTTCTGATCTCCTTTGGTGATTTTCATCATTATTACAATTCTTCAAAACATTCCTTTATATTTTTATTATTATTGTTTTGTAGATTAAACTCCATGTTGTTTATTTCGAGTATAACGTTCCAACTCGTGACGAAAAAATGGGTTTCCTTATAACATTAATATAGTTTACATTTTATAATTTTATATTTTACCAGAAACCGATAATATTACTGTGGTTGTTAATTACAACTGAGTATTTAGCAAGGATGAATAATGAAAAACTAGCCACAGTATACCAGTGACTTTTATTACTGGGTAGCTGGATATATTCAATAAATCAGAACTAAAACAACTCCTAGGCCTACAGTGCGGAGAATCTAAAATGGAGATTGAAGCAACTGTGTTGTTTGAATAAGGAGAATAGATTCAAAGTGAGATATTTTCACCTCACAACTAATTTACAGTTTAGACTTCCTTCCAAGTGTTACGACAGCGGAAGTCACGTGGTTCGGGTAGCGTGCGTGAAGTTTCTCGAATTATCGGGGAAGACCGGGTTTGTTCGAGACGCCCTCTTCTTTACTATATAAGCCTGGCAGAGAAAGCCAGCGGTGTAATATAAAGTGTGTTTTTTGTACTCGTCGAGAGCAAAGTTATCGAGATTGTGAATCGCTGTGATTTATAGCGTGTAAAAGTTGTTAAGTTTAAAGTGACGAGAAACGTACTGGCTGTGGAATTACTGTGTATTAAAAGTTTTTGTCGGGAAAGAACAAACTGGTTTAATCAAGAATGGACTTGTTTTGCTGAAGTTCCTCGGAAGGAGTTTCTACCAGAAATTAACAAACAAGCAGATACGCAACACAAGTAACTTAGACAGTATAGTGTCGGTCATTACGTCATAGTAATAGTTTTAGCATGAATATAATTTACTTATAATTATTTAAATTAGGCTTCTTTTCTTCTGCAGAGAATTGTTAGATACTGAATCATTAACCATATCAAACGAATAGCTGATCTAAACAATCACAATTTATAAAACTGACCCCCACTGGGGTCTCAACAGTAAGTCCGAGGGTTTACAATACTAAAACTCTGGTTTCGATACCCACAGTAGGCACAGTACAGATAGCCCATTCTGTAGCTTTGTGCTTATTAACAAACTAACTAGCTAAAAAAAAGTAATAAACTATACACTTGTACTACACAAGTGTTTCAAGAGATAGCGGGAGATGAAAGAGATCATATTGCAGAAAAGAAATAGATATTTGAAAAACTTAATTAAAAGATTAACGAAGAGAAGTGGAATGTTAGAAAATTAAGAAGATTCACATACACAAAAAGATTAGAGGCACCCTGTTAGTTTTCAGCTGCTTGATTGGGTTTTAAGTTACGTGAGTAAAAACAGGTTGGATACATATGAAAGACAACAAAAACAAACGTTATTTAGACACAACAACAAAAAAGAAAAACAGTTTGAGTAGACAAGTGGATGATAGCTTCTACTGATAAGTGAATAACTCATTAGCTTTCAGTCCCTCAAGATGAATCTTTGCTGAATTATTCCCGACGAAAACCACGTACAATTGAACAAAGAAAGTACACCTCAATTTGAAAAGTAAACTATGTTTATATACACCTGGAAAAAAGTTAATCACCCCCGTCGTTTTTTCAAGTGATTCAGATTCGACGTTCTTGTGACTGATTATAAATTACCATTCAATCTAAACGTAGTTTATTCAAATGA